AGGACGGGCCTTTTTACTGTAATGTTGAGACCAGCTGTGGTTTCACAGTGCGGTTCATGGTAAGACATTTGTAGCAATGATGTCGGCATAATCAGGTCTGTTTTTTATGAGTGTACATGTTTCGCATTAAACAATTTGGTGGGGCGACTGCGGCGCTGCGTCCCTGAACTCACCAGTATTTTGCCGTTGGCTCTGTCCTGGCGGGCCAGGCTGACCCCCATCCACTCATCGTCCCTGTCCCCTTGACACGTCTTCCCACACGACTCTCTTGGCTTGTTTCCTGAAAGACAATGAGAGCAGTTTGCAGACATTGAGTCATCAGGATGTCTTGGAGCAAGAACTGTTGCTTGTTAGACACTGTCAGCTTTTTGACTTTTGAGTTTTAGTCTTTATTTCTGCTGAATGCGCAAGAAATGTTTATACAGTTGACAGTTTAAAATATGTATATGAAAGATTAAAAAAGGCTGTGCATCCAGTAGAGGCAAATACTGTAAGTCACTTTAACTTACAAAAAAATCTGATATGATATTTAACACCCGATTTTTGAGGTCAATATCAATATCGATATCTGAGTGTTAAAGGTCCCATATTGCAATGAGTCAGATTTCTGTGTCTATTTTAATATAAAGCAGGTAAAGGTGCTATTTAAATACTGTGAAAGTTCCAAAACATTCAACCCACAGAGAAGGTACATGGTCGTGTTCAGAAACTGTGATTTTAAACAAGCCGCCAGGATTTCTGTGAGGTTGTGATGTCACAACTTAACTATGAAGTCCACTTCAAACTTGAAACATAAACATTCTAAATTGGTCCCTTTGTATTTCTTGATATATTTCTTGAAATGTTTTGCAGTCTAGGTGAATGACAGCAGCTGACAGGAAGTAAACAGGAACCCAAGCTGTTGCCACATAGAAACTGCCACTACAGAGCCGTTACCGTCATTCCCCCAGCTGCAATGATGGTGCAGAGACACCAAAAGTGCAGATATCAAAGATCCAGGAACCCTGACCAATCAGAGCAGAATAGGCTTTTTTGAGAGGGGGGCTTAAAGAGACAGGCGGTAAAACGGAGTGTCTCAGAGAGAGGGTCAATACAGGTATGTTTAGGGGGCCAGTATGTGAAAAATGATATGATTTTTGAACATTAAAGCATGTAAACATGTTCAAGTAGAAACCCAAAATAGAAGCACTAACCTAAAAATAAGCACAATATGTGACCTTTAAACAAGTCTGATAATATTGATATATGTTCCATTTTTAACACATAACATACACAGACATTTTTAGGATCCCGTGAGGGCTGCAGCTATGGATTATTTTTATAATAAAGCCATTTGAATCGATATATTCAACATTAGTAAGCAATAAAAAAAGCCTTGCAATGACCTCAACCCCAAATGGTAAACTGACTGCATTTATATAGCGATTTTCTATTCTTAGCAACCACTCAAAGCACTTTACAACACAAGTACAATTGACCCGTTCAAACACACATCCATACATTGATGGCCAATGACCATACAAGGTGCCACCTGCTCAGCAGATAAACATCACACAGCAATTTGGGGTGCAGTATATTGTGAAAGGACACTTGGACAGCAGGGGCCATTTAAGGATCGAACCACCAACCTTTCCACTGCCAGATAACCACTCTACCTCCTGTGCCACAGCTGCCTGATGATATGTCATCAAATTTCAAAATCCAAATAACTTACTGTACAATATACACTGCTTTATAATGTTGTTAACATTATTGACTTTGAATACTGGACCTTCTTTATGATACATAAATCAGGAAGACGATTAAGAACAAAAATCCACTTAAAGTAAAATAAACATAAATGTGCAGAACAAGGAGAATAAAGCCAATAAAAAGACAAAGATCTGTGGCACCTCTACAGCTTCACTTTTTAAGAGTCCAAATCTTCTCTTGCATTTTGATCCCCCTCTTTCCTCCAAGTTTTATTCTCTTTCTCCCTGCAGGCAGTTGATTCAGCACAATGGCATGTAACTGTGAGTGCTTCTCTATGTCAGTGTGTTTTGTGCTCCCAGAGGCCCGTCAGAGTTCAGCTCCTCTGGTCCATGTGGCTCACTGAGCACCGAGCAGCACACGCTCGCTCTGATAATGATGGTTTTTTTTTTGGGTGACACATTGACTGAGCACGGGGTTAATATTAAAGCCATGCCTGCACCCTGGCTTTTTTGACCACAAGAACAGAACCAGGGCCGAGGGGGGTTGAAGCTCAACTTTTTGGCTCACGTGCTTGGAAAATATTAGCAGAAGCATAAATCATATTTATCAAAAATATTTATAGACCTCTGCACACTGGATCCTCTTGTTTTTTTGCATGTCTCTCCATATAGCAGGTTCAGGACTAAAAGAACAACTGTGGCACTGTTAGGAGCAGTATAAGGCTGCATTATTCTGATAAAACAAAACAGATGCTTGGGGGAGTTTAGGCAAAGAGTGGACAAGGAAAAGCTGCAGGGAAGCTCAGCATGTGTGTGGACTGTAGCACCAGAGAGTGAACTTTTCTGTGAGATGCTGCGTGTGTGAGTGCATGCATTGCCCTGAGGCTGCAGTTAGAGTTGATGTCATTGTGTGCTCTTGTATTTATGCTGCAGGCAGTGGTGACTGACCTCTTCCCAGATCCATCTCTGTGCAGCGGCGCTCTGGGTTGCTGTGAACTCGACACTTATATACAGCTCCAGGAGAGTGCACAGAGCTACTGTAGGTCGAGTTTGCCTTTGGTGCCCCTACTATTACCCTGCAGACACGAGGAGAGGGGAGAGGATGGGACAAACACCTTACAGTATCTCTAATCTGTGCTACTGAAACAATAAAATTACAATATATATATTTTTCAAGCAGGAGTTACAAGTTACAGTAGAAGCAGAAATGGCTGTTCATGAGGAATATTACGCATTATTACATGTATTAATTGGATGTGGATGCAGCCTGAACTCTAAAAACACTTCAGCCTTTGTTTCAAAAGTACAAATTCATTGCATCACTGACAGAAAATAACAGCATTACCAGGAACAGTAAAACATGGGACTCACCAGCGTGTGTTGTCATGATAGTGCTCCAGCACTGAGTAACCAAAAAAACTAGAATTTGGTCCGCGGAACACCAAAGGATGTTCTAAGTCTATATTGTAAGAATAAGCCACTGAAATAGAGAGATAGACATAAAAAACATTCTGTACTCCCGTTTTGTGTCTCTGAAGAGGAGCCATCCCTTTGCGCATCGTGCGTAATAACGCGGTTAAAGTGTCCAAAAAGTAGAAGAAAGAAAAAAACAATAAGGAGGAATTGTCAGCTCTTGAGTTGTCAAAGTGTTACAAAACTATCTTTCAGTTGTTTTGTCCTCGTCTAGCGCAGCATGTAGGCTGTAATGGCATGAGGAAAAGCTTGAGGAAGAAAGTTAACGGTCCGGTAAATAACGGTGCGTCAGCTTCTCTCCATTCTGTGTCAATCTGAGAAAGTTGTTGCTCGCAGGCTCCCTGTCGTGGAGATAAATGCGGTCACTTGTGTCAAGTAAATCAGATAAGACCGGAAATATAAAGGGGTTCACTCAAAATAAAAGCATCGCTGGTGATTGAAGTGCTGCTGCAAGTCTGGGGTTTTAATCTGAAAGGTGAAAGCGGAACGTGCGTTTTCATCCTAGTGGGCTGACACTGGTAACACGGTCATGGAGAGACGCGGATGGTTTTTGAGGCGCAAAGCATCACATTTCACCCGTGGGCTTTGGGGGCTCCGCTCACCTAAACTGTGGGATGAGGGCGCACTGCTGCCATCTAACGTTTTACAGTCTCAAAATGCAACTCACTTATATTTACATATTAATCGATTCTGATAGATCATTAATGAAATTTTGGAATATTTTCACATTTTTTTGGAGTAAAAGTCACATGAGACACATATTATTATTTCTATGAGTCTTCATACATTTCTGGAGAGAATTTTTAGTGGTTACTTTTAATAATACAGTATTTATTTAATTATACAGTATGTACAGTGAAAGCGACAGAGAACCAGAGTCAATTTCCTTGTATTTTTTAATACTTAATAGTGGTGGATGAAGAACTCAGATCCTTTATTTAAGTCCTAATACCACTCTATACAATATGTTACAAGTAAAAGTCCTGCACTAAAAATGTCATTTAAGTAAAAATATGTAACACGGTAGTGAAGATCTACAGTCATCCAGGTCATGGTAATCCTAAGAGCTATCTTGTATCGTAGTACAAAAGGGAAATTTTATTTAGGAGGTGATGGCAAATGTACTCAGTGCAGAAAATTTTAAACCCATTTACTAAAGCAAAAATACAGTAATTAAAAGGAAAAGCAGCAAGTCGTCACATTTGAGGAGGTGGAACCATGAAATGTTTTTGCTTTAAAAAATGGCTGCCATTTATTCTCCAATCAATCAACTGATCATTTCAGCAGCATTTGTATATTTTCACATGGTTTCGTGCAAAAATCTTGATTTGTAAAGTAATCAAATAATTGTAGTGGAGTAAAAAAAGTACAGTATTTCCCTCTTAAGTGTAGTGAAATAGAGGTAGAAAGTGACATGGCATTAAAGTACTCACGTAAGAGTAACTCACATTTATACTTAAGTACTGTGCTTTAGTTACTGTACTCAGTTACACTCCACCACTGGACTTGACTAATAGTTTATTCTGATCCCTATTAAATACAGGTTTCCATGGTCTAATACATGCATGTGAATCATATATATGTAAAACTGCATTTCTGTTGTGAAGGAAAGGTCAAACAAAGGTCACCCTCGCTGAAGATGTGACCAGACAGGATCTTTAAAACCTAGATTTGTCGTGATGTCTTCATCCCACGTGTCTATTTCAACAGGATGTTATCATGCTTTATCCTCTGTTCTGCAGCCTGAACAATGTAAAACCAGGTAATGAGATAAGCAATTGAATTGAACACAGACAATACTGTATGATAACAAGAATAAATGAGTGACAAAAGGTGTTCTGTAAATAGGATTTATTTTGTTAGTTTGAAAATGTATAGCAAGTCATATAGTGCCCTATAGTACAGTCTTAATTATCATAATACAATTTACAGTTTTTGTGTTTTTTTTGTGTTTATTTATGTGTCTCTATGTCAGTGTAGTGACAAAATATAAAGCATAGAAAAGCTGTTAAACAAACAAGGTCCAGAGGCCAGTATATCTTAACGTGGTGCGAGTGCACAGTTAAAGGGTCGTTTACAGTTTTACACAGGAAGTGATTCAGACGACAGCACAACACAGAAACCTAACAAATCAACTGACCTGTCAGCGTCAAACACGTGATAATGATATCATTTATTGCACAAGCCAATCTGTATAGACACAATCTAAAATAAAAGGGAAACAATTTCACCTCATCTAAAACATATAAATTAACAAAACTTAATTTCAGGGTAAAACTAGATTTATGGAAGATTTGTGTTTCTGGCATATTCTCTTATATCCCTCATACCTTTAGATATATTCACGCATACGGCACCACACGCGCGCGCACACACACACACCACACTTATGTCCCAGTGTGCGCTCACACAAACATTCACACACATAACATAACACGAGATGCAGAGAGAAGGGCTTGATCAAATCCATGGCAGTCGTTCCCTTCAGCAGCAGCAGCAGCAGCAGCAGATTTTCATCCATTAATACCTGAATCATTCACACGCTCATCGTAACCAAGGCTGTGGAGAGACAGATATGAAATTAATTCAACTGTGCAATCAGTAATGATGAATATGTTTTAACTGCAAGAGGACTGAGGTGACTTTTGGGAATGAGCTGAAAGGATCCTCAGCAGGTGAAGATGCTTACAATCGCTTTTGAGTCTTCTTTGTCCAAAACCTTTTGCGCTTGGTCCGGAGGAAACTTGAGCATGGAAGTAATCACTTTGGCCATCGTCTGTGGATGAGGAGCAAATAAATGAAAACACTTGACAAAAAGCTTTTTAAGAAGACCTGTGTTTCTAGTACAAATTCTCCATATCTCTTTCATGAACACCAGATGCACTAACCCCACCTTTAACACCATGATCCAAACAAATCGAGCTTGTTCTCTGTCAATTAAAGTCCAACAAGACAAAAAAAAAAAAAAACAACTCCAGGCCTATCTGCCAGGGTGCATGCATTTCCCCGTAAACACATGGGATAATCAGAAACAGTGCTGCTGTGTAGGAAACCTAACCGCTCAACTCGCACTAAACAAGGCCAGCATGTCTTTAAATGGCAAGTCTGCGTCATGCGAGATGTATGCGCTAGCAGGCAGCCTGGGGGACATCCTCCGCGCCGGGGAGGTCTGCCATGTTGCCATAAAGACTAACTGTTTGCTGAAGAGCTGGGAAAATCCCGCTGACTTTAGGACCATGTCAACAGCACTGTTAATTAGGGTGATCACTGTTAATTTGAACCCAAGAAGGCTGGACGAAACATGACTTTTATATAGCGTCCTAAATGGTCTCACGTTTTGTGTGGTCAGAGGTCAACGGGTGTCTCGCCAAACAAATGGGATGGTCTGACTCACTGAAATCATTACTTATTATTTCACTGCAGTGGCTTTACATGGTCTCCTTTCCAACTTAAAATAAAAATCTGCAGATCATGTTTTATTCTGTCACTCTGCAACATCCAGACAATCAAATGATTTCCCAAAGAAGCATCTCTACATTTGTAAAGATATTGTCGTCATGGATCACTGTGATTGGCACAGCTGTTTCAAAGCTAGTATGTGAACAGTTATGTGACTGGCTAAACATGTATTTATTAATTACCACACCCTGCAATCAGCGACAGGTAGGGGCGTAATGATACATTGATCTGGATCTATATACTGATTACATAAACAGCGATCTGATATTAGTGATGCAGAGCGAAAACATTCATACATATTTTCATCTTTAAGATAAGCCATCTTTTTCTAAATTCCCATGGCACATCTATGTCACCATTTCTATCCAAGCACAACTCTGTCTTAAACTTTCAAACAATGCCAGTGGTCTAGCACCAGGCAGATAACGGTAAGCAGCCAAGAAATAGACCATGAGTATATTTACTGATACTGTCTTGTGTCGATCACAGGCCGCTGAATTGAATCTAATCCAAATAGTATTGGGGTAGACTTTGTGATATCAGCACATATTGGATCGTCCAGAGAATCAATATTATATCTGTTGTGAAGAATCTTGTGATTTACACCCCTAGCAGCAGACACTTGCACTGTCTGCGACCTACAGTAATGCTCTGCGTTTGTTGTTATGAGCTTGAGGAATTAAAATAGAGACCCTTGGATTTACTTTCCTTGCTGTTCCTGGTGTTTTCAGTGTCAACCACCCAAAAACCAGAAAATGTAAGCACATAAACACAACATTTCTAACACTGTAAAAAAAAATGAAAGCATACTTTTGTTTCCCGTCCCATCATGTATTCAAACAACACCTTCCTCAGGTACTCCATCTCAGTAGCTTCGCTGCTGTTGTATCCAGGATCTGTGAAAACAAGCAAAAACAGCCATTTAATCATCTGAGACCTGATCAGTCACACTATAGCGCATATGGAAGACTTTAAAAGTCAACTGTAGGGCTGCGTATCGGCAACAGTCTGACATTACCATACGTATCATGACACTGGGGTTACAATTCAATATACAATATATTGCATTTTTCTTTTAATCTAATTTTAGAACAACTCATACAGTATAAAGAACAGATCACCATGTTCAAAATTAAGGTTTTCTTTTTCATGTATTCAGATCAGTAGGGTCTGCTTTTGTATTTATCACGGTCACTGTAACCTCCAACATTAGAGCACTACTTTTTGTGCAAAGGAATTAACATCTGCTTACATCATCAGTAAAAATCAATAAAGTAAAAGTGCGTGCAGGATTCTTTACGTAAACAAATTAAGAAAATAAAAAAAACCCCTAAACAATAAAAAATCAATAGCGTTTTTGAGAATCGATGTCATGAAAATACCCAAGTGTTTCGATATTTTCTTACACCCCTAATCAGCCGTAATAATTTTAAATATTTAATGAAGAATTGATTGTTCTAGAGATTCAAGCTTCGCTCTCACTCATTGCCTCTCAGGTCCTATTACTGTGAGATATGTGAATGTTTTGTGTTAAGTACGCTCTGCTGCCATTGTAGCCAGGTTTCTCTCGTAAAAGAGACTTTCTATTTTAATACAGTAAAATAAATAAATAAAACTTTACTAATTTGTAAGACGTTACAAATTTTCTTGTCTAGTTTTATAGTAAGACTTGCACACAACAATGCCTGTCACTGTCAAAAACTCTGACTGAATTCTGACCCAACAACAACCCAGAGCATCATGTTTGTGTTAGCAACCATATACAAAGCACAACTATAAGCACAGGAAATAATGGCGAGGCCCAGCATGAGCACATTAATACCACACGAGTCAAACAATGTACGTTTTACTTCTACGCCCAAAGCTATAACGCCATTATCCCTCTAAAAAAACAATGAATGGGAAACTGTGCTACAGCATGGACAGGGCTGGCAACACTTAGACTACTGCTTCTTCCTCTGAAATGTCCCCCATCAGGTTTTTAATATGGAACAACACCCACTTGCTCCCTGCTTATCTGGAATAATCATTCAGGTGACGCTAAAAGTCCCCGCATGTGCTGAGAGAGACTGTGTGATTAGAGGACCAGAAAAGGTGATACAGAGGTGCAAACAACTCTTTGATCTCTTGTGTGAAGTAATGGGTCACCAGTAAATCCCATAGCCTTTGTCCTCCTGACCCCATGTTGCCCCTGCAGAGCCTACCGTCCCACCCCACATAAAAGCAGCCCTCTGATTCAACCTGAAACCACAGCTCTGTGATTTACGTAGGCTCAACAGATTCATAATGAGTTGAAGACGCTTTCGCTAATAAGTACTGCAATCCTAAATACATGCAGGATAGAGTGGGTATTAGGTTGGATATAGTATGTGTATTGGAAGTAGAGGATTTGAGGAGTAAAAGTCTGTGTGCTTGCAGGGTCCTGTGTGGGAAACGTTAAGAACAAAATCTGCAAAACCCATTAAATCCAAGGATGGCTTCTTCACCGCCCCCCTTCTGACAGCAGATTCTCTTTATTACACCAGCAGGGAAGCTCTAAGAGGAGGGTAGAATTCACTCAATCTCCCCCATATCTCTCACACACACACCACGCTCAGTTTATGGTATACTTTGGGATACTGCAGTGACTTACAGTCAGCACCCAGAGGTTAACCCTAACCTTAACCACAGTGGTTGTATGTCTAACCCTAACTCTTAACTCAAACCTTAATTATAACCACAGCTCTCAACTTAACCAGTACGCCTAAAATCACGCTTAGATGGCTAAAATGTCCTCAACAGCACATTTAAACCAGGCCACACACCCACATACTTCTCAGGGTATGCATCTTTTGTCCCATCTCTGATCCACAAAGCGATGTGGGGGCTGGCAGATTAGGAAGACTACTGGTAGTGTGTACAAAGCACCAACTCTGAGATCCTACAGAGCAGCTCGGCTACAACAACTAGAAAATTTACATGTTAATATGAAATATAATCATATGTTCTGTGTTCTAAATCCTTATGACAATAAAATAAAAGTTAAGTATGTCTCTTAGGCTATATCCACACTAACACATTTTCATTTTAAAACAGCATTTTAAAACCAAACTATCAACGTTTAAACACCATTTCAGAAACAACCTCGGCCCATATTAACATGCCTTTAAAAAGCATGTCACATGACCACAGACTCATTGAGCGTGAGCGTGCCCATGTACAGGAAGCAGATTGTCTACTCTATGGTTGGTTGCTCAGTAACAGCGCATACTGCGGAGATGGCGAAAAGTAAGACCAGAGATTTCTTTGCTTGGACTGACAACAACTTGGAACTGTTACTGAAAGTGACACATGAGTATAAGGTGGTAGAAAACAGATTGGGAGTCATCGCAAAACAAATACTGCAAAAAGTTCAAGTTCAAGTTTTGAAAGTGAAACAGGGTCACCAGCGTTTTTAAAGGGCTCAATTTTAGAGGGTTCCAAAGCGCCGGGTTAGTGTGGACGCTAGGCATGAAACATAGACTGTACATATGATGGACATAACCTCTGTAACACCACCCATTGGTTTGTGGACCCCCGTTTTGGAGCCCCTTGAGTTTGGCACTGAGGCTGTCACCACCTTGGTTTTTTGGAGCCAGATGTGACCATATTTGGATAAGAGACTTGAGCTGTGGTGGAGCGAGGGGTGGATCTGACTGAGAGGCAGATGACACTATCGGCAGACAGCCTGTCACAGCCTGTCACTCAAAGCAGCGTGGCACCAAAATTGTTTTTTTGGTTGCTCCGGCCTGTTAACACATTCATTCCTGCTTTAAAGTTGGGCATTTCAACACGGGGATCTATGTGGATTGACCTCTGGAGACAGTTTTAAGCGGCCATTAAAAGAACTACAGTTTCTGGCACTTCCATGTTGGCTTCATATTGGCGTACATGTAGCAATAGTTATGCATTTCAAAACAAAAACTTATTAGTGTGGCTGTAGCTTTATACTACAGGTGTATGTTGTGTGTGCTGTGTATGTGTTTTCCATGATATTGCACTGTGTTTCATCATTTTGAGTTTCATCTCTGTTGTGCCGATCTAAAAAGGAACCTGGCTCAAGAAGCAGAACTAAGTGATTCATGGCGTCAACATTACCTTTGTACGTGCTCCCGAGATGAGTTACAACAGTGGTTCGGTGGAAACATTTAATCTTGTCCTCAAGCGAGTGAATCTACCATGGAGAAACACACATGCATGTACAGATTAATAACTTAAAAAAAGCCATTTGACCCCAGTGGGTTAATTCTATGCATTAGCTTAATTGTTGCATGGGACACAAGCACAGCATTCTGTAGATCGTCCTCCGGGGATGTTTGTGAGAATGACGATGTGTGTGAGAAAAACTGTGGGAGGCGTTGCTGTGATTGTTTATAGGGTTAAACCAAATGTAAACAGATGTGCTTTGTAATTAAGTCGGTGCAGCAGGAGAGCAGTAGCTGCTCTTGCTGCAGGCCACAGAAACATGGGAATATGCTGCGTGGGATTTGCTGTTCACTTGTCCCCGTGAAGTGCACACATGGGGCCCAACACTCACTCTCTCAACAAAGCCCTGCTCCTTCAGCCGAGCCTCGCTTAGCAGAGACGTCTTCTCAGCAAGCTGAGCCTGAGGAGGAGAAGGACAAAACATCAATGTCAGTAAGAACTGCACAAGAATAGTGTGCCTATCAATGATGCATGTTTTCTTGATAATCAACTGTTTTACAGTGGTATGAATGGTGAATGATATGGATCTCTGAAACAGTAAAACCAGTGATACTGGAGCCAGCAAACTTACCTGTAGTTCTTCTGTGCTCATCTGTGCCCAAATAAAGAAGAGAAAAGGGGAAGATACAAAATTTAACAATAGAATAAAAACACAGTCAAGGGCAAAGGTGGCCAAACTTTTTTAAAAATTGTGGACCATATACAGAAAAATATAAGGAGTCACAGACAAAACAATAGTAAATGCACAGTTTTCAACCAGTTACACAGCTGGAAAATCTGTGTTACTAGACCAGAAATGCCCATTTGCCATTAAAAAAAGACTTTTTCAATCAAAATTATTATGCAACACTACTTAACATTTCAAAGCATAACATTACAATAGTTTTTGGTACTGGTGCACCAAAAGTGTTTCTCTAAATCCCATTAAAAGACCAAAAACAATAAGTTGATCCTACTAACAAGTATTATGCATCCAAAGCCTAATGAAGCCAATAAAGCTCATTCCTGTGTGCCACAGAGCTCCATAAAATATAAAAAACACATCAGTGAGCCACTCTGTTGCACAGGGTGACATGTTCCTTTATTACAATGAACATGGGCATTGTAGTTTATCTTGAGCCAACCCAACAAACGCATTACTTTCTTGAATAAGGGTAAGCTACACACAGCTCATTAGTCCCTCTCCAGTAGCTCCCTGTGGCTTTGACAAAAAATGATGAATGAATAATTCTTTTGTTAACATTTGAATTCTCATTTATCATTGCTCTAGGCCTAAACCGATTTTTACTCTAGCCCATACACCAAATTAAAGATATGTATAAGTGTTTTGTCAACTAAAAATGTGCTTCATATGTCTACAGCCTTGCACATTTTCATCTAAATTTTGTAAAAACCCTTACTCACATTTGGCAGTGGCTAGTCTTGACTCTAGCTAGGCTAGCAATGGATTCCAAATCTAAAAAAGGGAAAAGTCTCAGAGGCGATTTAATAATGCATGGACAGATTTGTTTACGTTGCCAGAGCTGCAAAGTTAAAGTACCTAATAGGGGTGTAACAGTACACAAAAATCACGGTTCGGTACTTACCTCGGTACACAAGTCATGGTTTGTTTTTTTTTCGGTACAGTAATGAAAAAATAGACAACTACTAAATATCTTCTACTTATTGGTAACCTTATCAAAACATACCACCACAGCAGTTAACTCTTTTACACAATTTTTGAATGAAACAAATATATATATGAAATCCTGCTTTTTCACATTGTTTGAATGAAAATAGAAATATAAAAGTGAAAAATAAAATCCTGCTGTTTTTTTAACACATTTTTTGAATGAAAAATATAAATATACATTTCTGCTTTAACAGTTTTACTCAATTAAAATAAAAAGTATAGTGCAGCTGGTCAGCTTTAAAGCCTGCTCAGATTCAGTTTTACTAGGAACTTACTTAGCTTTCCCACTTTGTTAATGTGCAATAAACAAAACATGCTTATATCTAAAGTGCAGCTTAAACAATTTTACTCAACTCCAATGGCGTTGGTTATTTCTTTAGTGCGATGGTCAGGGAAACGCTCTTTCTTTTTAAACGACGACGATATCGTAGCTTGCACCAGATTGCTCTTTCTAGTCGTGCCGGTTAACGTTCAAACTCGGGTGGTGTCGCTTTAGATGCGTTAGCATGTTAGACGTGTTTCCAAGCACATACCCGACCGCTGTTCTGCAGTGTCGGCACACTGCTTTTGTCTTGTCAACTTGTTTATTACCATCTTCGTATTTTACCCTGAAACAAAAGTGTTCCCAAACGGAGGACTTAAGGTTTGCGGGTGGGTCTTCAGGTTCGTCAGGCTCACTTGCCATGTTGTCAAAATGCGAGAATGCGCTGCACAAAGTGAAAGCAGAGATTTACGGTCGGATTCGGTCCGTCACTCAATTATGTCCGTCGGGGAACTAGATATTTTAAATGGTTCGGCTCGCAAAAACGGAATTAAAATAAAACAAAATAAAATAAAATAATATCCTGCGCCCAATAATTCGGTACAGGGTCGTGCCGAACCGAAAGTCGCGTACCGAACGGTTCGACACAAATACATGTACCGTTACGGCCCTAGTACCTAATAAATAGCCCACTGCAGAGTAGCCACTTTGTGTTAAAACATATTAACGAATGCTCATTTAGACCTATTGCTAATGTTGACAGGCTAATTCAGTTACAGCACCTTCATTGTAAGGCTCAAATATGTTTTCAGCTCCAGACAGATATATTTTGATAGTAAAGGTTGGCGACCCCTGTGCTAGAGCAACAAATCTGCATTAATCCACTGCTGAAAATAGTTCCCAACAAATAGGCAATTTAGTCCTGTTTTGGTAATGTTTTCTAAAAACTACAGTGCCCAGTTGTTGGAAACTATTTGACAATAACGATATAGTGACCCATTGTTGAGCCACATACAGGTGGAAGAAGTCTAAAAGAGCTGAGATGGACTAACCCACTGTTAGTTTTGGTCTTAAGTTGTGTTTTTTGACAAGACAAAGAAGAATAATACCTGCCTTAGTCTTTAACTGGACAGTAAAATTAAAAGGACAAGTTCATGCCCAGTAAAGTCAGCACAGACGGTCTAAACTGGAGCTGTACTTCTCCAAGAGTGTTGGTTTGCTGTCTCTACGGAGAGACACACTGACCCACTGTCTAAATGAAGAATGGTTTGTGAGGCCCATTGTAAGGAAAGGCCTCCCTGAGCATGAACCCATACAATCCACCCATAAAGTTATTACCTCACCAGGGAAAAATGCAGCAGAGAGAGCAACGTAACTCTTTGTGTTTGTATGCATCTGGACACAGCGCAAAAGGTAGAAGAAGGGTCTAATGGCACCTCAACACCTGGGTAAAATGTCTCCCTGGAGTACTTTTGTCCTTTCTGGCCCCTCTCCAGTATGCGAGTCTTGCCTCTGAGTATTGCTGCAGTATAAATCTGAGGTCCAAAATCACGTCGTATGATGATAATTGAGAACAGGGATTGAGGCTTGCTGCTGCCTCACAATCTCTGTTTTCCAAGGGGAACATTCCTGAGTGATTCAGACGAGCTTCACAGCATCCGGCGCACTTTGGAGAGCAGCCACACGGCTGGAGCGAGACACTGATCAGAGCGAAGTATGTGAGCAAATTGTCCCTGAGCTCTTAGACGGAATCCTTCAATTACGAAGCAAGACAAAGGAAAGATAACCGAATACTGCTAAATTTTTAACTTGGATGTGAACTCTCAAATAATAAATGTATCCGAAAGGGCCTCGCGGTATGGACACAAATATGTGTCTGGATTGGGCTGTCATTCAAAACTAGTAATGCTTCCATCAGACAGCCTTTTCCCTGAGGAGGAGAGAGAGCTGAAAATAATGACTTCATACAGCCATTGTGACGTGACCTCACAATGGCTGATGATTTCAACAGAATCACTATATAAATTTAATCTACACCACCAGCCTTATATTTCACAGACTTTAATAGCTGCAGGTATGTTTTTCTACATCTGTGCAAACGGAAAAATGTGCCCAATACATCAACCTGTTGTGACACCAACCACAGATGTTTGACCTGGTGACTATACACAGGAGGACAGACATGTTTGTACCTCAGCAGCATCATGGCTCTTTGCTTGCAACTCCTCCAGTTCCTTCTGAACCTGCCACACTCTTTGTCCCATCTCCTCCTCTCGATTCTGAAAAAGAAAAAAAAATAACAAAGGCTGAGTCATTTCCTATGTTTCATCTCAGCATCACAACCCAAGTATGTCGGTCTGATCACTCAGTCAAAGAGCTGCCTTTATTTATTGAAGACCTCCCACTCATAATTATGCTCGGAGACACTAGGGGAGAAACTTTATGACCAGACGCTGACTGTTCTTAAGTAATCATTTGACCACTTTCCAAATATATATCATTCAGCAAGCGTTTATTGATGATCAAGTCAAGGTTTTTCTAGACCAGTGCTTCACTCAAACAGGGAGCTGCCAGAGGACCTCAGACACATCGTTAAGAATTTATGATTTGATTAAAAAAAAAAAAAAAAAAGTGTCATAATATTTAGTCAGCTGAGTTAGCAAGCGAGCCAAGAAGTAGAAACAGTTAGTAAAAATGTAATGAATAACAGATGAATAATTAGAAAAAGGTCATGGATAAACAGATGAAATAGTTTATAAATAAAAAGCTTTTGCTGTTGCCGGGTAGAGTTTCTAAAGTTACCTCGGTTGTTCCACTGTTGCCACAGTACTTACAAAGAACTCACATTGATACTGCCTGGTAAATGGGGATAACTACCGATAGTTGCTTGCGGAGTAAAAAAAAGGCTCTATCCTCATCCTGTTTTGGCTGCGCAATGGCTGACATACTTCCTTTGTGCAGGAAATCGAGCCTTCATTTTCCTGTGAGATTGTACCCCGTGGCAGACAGAACTGCATAGTTGAAGAGAGGCTTGTAAGAAGCCAAGGTGGCGTCATTATTCATACTTCATAACGATATGTTAAAGCAAAAAACAAAAGGTCTATTTCCGCTTTAAAATCAATCAGAAGCTGATTTAAAATAAGCACATTTGGAAAATGATGGTTGGTGTAAATGTAGGGATACCTGAGTTCATCTGAACGGGGCTGGGGGGCATGTCTGATGAAAATGTTGGAAATGAATGGTTTAGACTGGTGGTGGAGGGGTGATGGTGGTGGTGGGGTAGCTGCCAGCTAGTGCAATGACAGCTTCCAAATGATGGGTGGGGTTAATTTCCTTCTTGTTTTAGGAAAACATGTTTTTGAGCTTCATCTTTTCAGAGTACCTGTAAAACCTCCTCATATTTCTGAACAGTTCTGTGCAAATCATCCTCCTTCTTCGTAATCACCTTCCTCAGCTGACTGGCTTCGTCGCGATGGCTGGTGATGAGCTCTGCCTCGACAGCCTGGGCCTTCGCTGTGTAGAGGAAAGGGAGCGAAGCCAGAGTTAGCACATAAAAAACTAACCAAATTCATATTCCAAACCGCTCAGTCACATCCCATCTGGAACGTAACACGATTTAACCATAGAGGAAACGAGGAAACATGGCAATTCAGACGCACTGTTTCCAAATGTAATGATCCCTTAATTTTGTTCTGCCCAGTGTCGAGATTAAAAACTGTACCATGTTTCCATGTACTTATTCCACCCTACTGTTGTACATGAAAGTCAGACATAGTCACTTTGATTTTTCCATTTTAAGGCTTGGTTGCCTAAAGCAGAGGTAGACTGTAGTTACTGAGATGATTTCACCACAACAAGAGATAATATTCTCAGTCACTTGTGTCCTTTACAACACAGCTGTAAGTTTTGTCAGTTCAATTTGATGAATGGAGGATAATTTCCTCCCGCCTCACCAATGGCCTCCTTCACTGCTGTATCCAGCTCCCTCTCCTTCAGAGCCATCTGCGTGTTGAACTCCCTCATTAGCTGCTTGATGGCAGAATTGTGCTTCATCTCCACATCTTCCAACTCCAGCCTATTAGAACACATATAAAGGAAATCTATTAATTTAGTATTGACATCACAATCACATTTTATTTTGTGTTATGACATCATAAACTTACTTGAGCCTTTTCTCAGTCTCCTCCAACATCTCTTTCTTCATGTATTCCAGGTCCTGTTCGTGCTCCTTCCTCAGAACTCGCATGTCCTTCTGTAGCCTGGCAAAGTCCTTGTGAATCTTCTCTTTCTCGCTTTTCACCTGACTCAGTTTGTCCTTGAGAGACTCCAAAGAATCACCGTCCACCTCTTGCATCGGAGAGTGGTTTTCCATCTCGGTTTGCATCGCGCTCCTGGTTTGCTGTACGCTGCTACATTCCACCTTGATCTCTGCCTCGAGCTCTGGTGGGTTTTGTGCGTGCTTAATAGTTGCCTGATGTTCCTCAAGCTGGGCATCCTTCGCACATATCTCCTCTTTCAGACGATTTATTTCTGCGAGAAGGTTTCCATTCTGCTCTTCTGCTTCTTTTAGCTTTGCCTCGATTTCGCGCAGCGCTGATTCTGTTTCTTTCAGCTCCCCTTGTTGTGCTGCATCACTCTGAAGCGAGGACAGCTTTTCTTCATACAAGTTTTTCAGCTCCTCTAAAGACCTTTCTTTCTCGAGCCTCTCATTACTCAGAATCTGCTTGAGTTGTTGCTCCTGCTCTTCCTTAAGCTTTACCAGAGCTTCCTCAAGTGTTTTTGTTTGCCCCTCTAACATTTCTGCGTGTTGTTTTCTGGATGTTTCGCTGCTCTTGATTTCCTCCAGGCTGGTCTGAAGAGCCTTAACCGCCTGCTCTTTTTCCTCGAGCTGCGAGGTTAGCTGTTTTTTAATCTGACCGATTTTCTGCTCAGCTTTCTTCTTCAGCTCTGATACTTTCCGAGCGCTCTCCGCAGACAACTTCTCTTCAGCCGCCTTCAGACTCTCCTCTTTGCTCCTGATAATCTCATCTTTCGTCCTTTCAAATTCCTCCCTCTGACTTTCAAGCTTTTCTTTACACTTTTGATTGTCTTCCTCGAGAGAGCGTAGTTTTTCGACCATCTCCTGCTCCAAGTTACCATTCTGAGCGCACTGCATCTGGGTCTGCTGCAGCTGCTCCACCAACTCCCTCTTTTCATTCTCCCTGACGCTGTGTTGCTGTTTGAGGTCTGCTGTGAGTTGCTCGCACTCTTTTGTCTTTAAGGCTAACTGCTCCTGGAGCTCACCAAGTCGACCTATGCAACTCTCCAGTTCTGAGGTGAGCCCGCTGACCGTCTGCTCCTTCTCGCTCAACACCTGGTCCATCTCAGACTTACTGATGGACTGATTGTCAATACTCGCCGTCAGCCTTTGCAGGGCTTCGTTCTTTTCAGAGATTTCTCGCTCCAGCTCATCGAGCCTGGTCTGCAAAGACGTAATAGTGTTATCATTCTGGGCGAACTTTGTCTCTGCCTTGTTCTCATACTCAGACAGACTGTTCCTGAGTGCATCTGCCTGCTCTGAAGCAGACTTCCTCTCCTGCTCTAATCTCTGAATGGTCTCCTCCATTTGAGCAGCAGCCTGTTGTCTCTCCTCTTTATACTGCTGGTTCAGCTGATTTATGGCTTCCTCCTTCTCTTTTATGCTACTTGCTAGCTGATTTTTCAAGTCACTCACGATGCTTTCCAAGTTACCGATTTGCAACTCATTTGCTTTCATACTTTCTGATATGAGTCTGTTTGCTTCATTCAGCTCCTCAATTTTCAGAGCTTTCTCGTTGATAGACTGAGAGTGATTCTCCTTCTCATGAGTTAAGGCATTGACATGCTCCATGTGAGCATTTACCTGAGCAGTCATCTGTTCTAATGAAATGCATAGATTCTTATTCTCCTCTGTTTGCTGGCGGAGATTGTCCTCTAAAGTGCAAATTCTATCTGCTTTAGTGAGGATGACGTTTTTGAGATTCACTACCTTTTCTTGACTACGGAGCAATCTGTCTTTCAGCTCATTCAGCCTACATTCAACTCTTTGACAGAGTTCATTAGAGCCACACTCCACTTTCGACTGAACCTCCTGACAGCAATGCTCCATTTGGTTTCTGATCAGAATTAATTGCTGCTGGAACTCTGCTTCCCTGGCTTGTAGCTGCATGGCAGTTTCCTCAAATTTACTCTGCAAGTCCTCACTCTCCTTACATCTGGAACCTTCCAGTGCTTTACGCTGCTTCTCTGCTTCCTTCAACTTTCCTGACAAGTTCTTTAACTTCTCTTTGTTCTGTTCCTTCGTCTTGTTGAGCTCGTCCTGGAGGGAGTTTCTCTCCTTCAGAGCTTGGTTAAGGTTCCTCTCCACTGACTCCATTTGCTCTTTGAGCAAGGCTTCGCCCTGAGACAAACTTTCAAGCTTAACCGCTGCTTCGTTGAGCTCTTCTTGCAGTTTCTGCACAGTGGTTTCCCGAATTGCCAGCTCCTCCTTTAAATCCTTTAATTCACGCAACACTTGCTCGTTCTCCTCTTTGCCTCTGTTGAGTTGCTGAGAAATTTTCTCCAGTTCCTGAACCTTCTCCTGTAGTATGTGCGAGTGTTTCTCCGTTAATTCTTCCTCCTGCTGCCCCAACTTCTCCTGCCAACGACGCTCCAGCTCCTCAGTCTCATGCTTATGGGTGTCATGTAGCTTCTCCACCTCTTCCTTATGGTTGGCCTGCAGCTCTGACATTGCACTGCTAAGACCTTGGGAACTTTTTTGGGCCATCTCCACAATTTTCTCTTGAACTTGTTGCTCTGTCTGCTGAAGCTCTTTCTCCTTCTTCGCAAGTTCCTTCTTCATGGTCTCCTCATTCTGCTGAAGCTTTTTCTTAAAACTCTCGTGCATTTCTTTGGCCTTGTGTTTAACCTTTTCCATTTTCGTCTCCTGTGATTTCAGCTTAGCCTCCATCTCAGTTATAGTGTTTTTCATCTTATTTTCATGGGCAGCTTTTTCATCATCCAGCTGTTTTTTGAGGCAAGTTTGTTCTTCCTCCTTAGTGTTCAGTTCTGCTGTAAATGACTTCTCCTGCTCTGAGAGCTCCTTTTTGGTCTGCCGTAACTGTTGCTCTAGTTCTTGAAGCGACTTCTCTTTTTGTTGACAATCAGTCTTTGCTGCTTCCAGCTGATGCTCCAAATCAGTCAAATCCTTCTTACACTTATCAAGATCCTCTGACATCTTACTTAACTGTGCATTAGATTCCTTTAGACTCCCACTTTCCTGCTGGGATTGTGACAAACGCTGCTGCAGCTCCTCCAATTCTTTAACCTTGACATTTAATTCTTGTACCGTGGAATGTGACTCCTCTTGTAGTGTTTTTTCTTTTAGGACAAGGTCTTTAATTTCCTTTTCCCTTTCCTTTAAAACAATCTTCAACGCATTCAGCTCCTCCTTCAGGGTTTTCTCTGTACCAAGGGACTGCTCTTGCTCCTGTTTGATATTTTTAAGCTCTACATTGTGCTTTTCCACCTGATCTTGAACCCGCTTTTCGTTTTCCTGTTGAGCCACACGATGAGCATCTTCAGTTGCCACCAGCTTCTCCTCAAGAAGCTGTTTACTCTTCAAAGCCTCGGAAAGCTCTGCGGAAACTGCCTCTAGCTCTGCCTGCTTTGCATCCAGTTTCTCCAAAGTCTTCTGGTTCATGTCTTCAACATGTGCTTGGAACTGCAGTTCTTTATCTTTCAGAAGGGTCTCCACTTCAACTCTGTGTTTCTCCTTGAGCTCAAGAGCAGCATTATTCTGCTGGGTTAGGATGCCCTTGTGCTTTTCCAGCTCCTCCCGGTGCTTTTCCTCTAATGCGGAGATTTGCTCCTTGTGTTTATCCTTCAGTTCCTCCAGCTGACTGGAAAGTTCATGGGACAGACTTGATCCGTCTTGTGAGATCTTCTCCAGAGAGCTCTCCAACTCCAATACTCTCTGCAATCACATACATGTAGGTTGTTAGATTATTCTATAAAGTCACCACAGTTAACTATAAAAACAAATGGTTAATAATCAAGATATTTTTAACAGAGGGTCTGTACTGAATCAGTACAGTTATCACCAAATGTCAGATGTCGTATGCTGTAAAGCCCCCTGAGGCAAATTGTGATGTGTGATATTGGGCTTTGTAAATAAAATTGATTGATTGATTGATTGATTGGTGATTCTGTGTTGAATAAATCAATCTTCCTGTCCCTCTGTGTGTGTTTGTGTGTGTGTGTGTGTGTGTGTGTGTGTGTGTGTAGAGCCGAGAAGTTTCTAAATAACTACATGCTTACTTACACACATTATTCAGATAATATTAATGCCACTTTTGTTCGTTAGTTAACATGGAAATGATCAAAGATTTCAGCCTCAAACAATTCAGTCATCCCTAATTAAATGGTCTAATATTGTCCAATTAACTACATGTTTTAGAAAGCAATTATAACAAAAAAGCAACTCACAGTTCTTGCAGCTTCCAGCTCCAACTGAATCTCCTTAACCTTGTTATCAGCTTCAGTCCTCAGAGCTGTCTTCTGTAGCTCTACATCCTCCAGAGCCAGAGAGGACTGCTGTTCTCGCTCCTTGCCCAATCGCGCAAACTCCTCTTTGCATTGCTCCTAAACACACAAGCAGCGTCAGCCATCATAATTTAAAAGCGACTGTTTTTTCATCTGATTTACTTGAACATATTGTGAAATTAAACAAATGAAAACCTTTGGAACATACCACAGCTTTGTTGATTCTGGCATTCATCTCTTCTTCTTTGGCAGCCAGAGCCTCACTGTGGAGTTTCTCCATATTGGCCACCGTCTCCTCCGATGATTTCTGATAATATTAATAACATTTTTTTTTTTAAATTTTTAGATTTTTAAAAAGTGGCAGAAGTGGAACAGCTTCAACTTGTCAGACATTGTTATTACTTGATCATTTTGGCTGTGTGTCTTTGAACATGGCAACTATACGGTGACGTCATAGAAGCTAACTCAGGGTAATGCCACAAATGTCAATGTACTAATGATTTCTTAAAAATGAGAACAAATGAATAAGTATGCAGCAGATGTCACTTCCTGACCTTCATGATGGCGACGACCTCCTGTTTGACCTTTGTGAGCTTCTGCTGCAGAGTCTTCCTCTCTTCCTCGCTGGCCCTTTCAACCTCTTTCACTTGCTCCTCCAGCTGAACCTGCAGCTGTTTACGGGCCTCCTCTGCCCTCTGAGCTACACCCAGCGCTCGCTCAAGTTCTTCAAACGCTTTAAGAAAATAAACCCCACATCATTAACATATCCAGAAAATACACGCACATGTACACTTACAGTAGTGGACTCCACTCACCTGATTTCTCAGCCTTTTCTTTCTGCTCCTGTAGCTCTTCTTTCTGGGCAGTAACCTGCTGGAGCCTGGAGCGGAGCTGAGCAACCTCCTCTTCCTTCATTTCCAGGGTCTCATGCATCTGGCGCTTTGTCTCAGCAATTACCATTCCCTGAAAGCCAGCAGCAGCCCATGAAGGAAAATCATCCTATTAACTGTATGGTCTGAGCAAATAAATCGACACTGAAACTGAAGTTGATTTGATGAGTTATACCTCTGTATTTTAATCCTAACCCACTAATGAAAGGAGTATTATCAGCAAAAGAGTTTTAGCTAATATTACTGTGTTGTAGCTGTTTAAAGTTGTGCTAATTTTAACTTCTTTATATACTGTTGGGTAGTTTAAGCTACAGCAATGCATCATATTCTATAAGATCATTGTATGTTTGTAGCGTCACTGTCTTGTGAGAACCATGCATCTCTGAAAAAGTCAACTTTTCATACTGTCAGACAAACAGCCCTGTTTTCAGCTTTGTGACGATGCATTTTCCAGCTGATCCAAGAGGGTTTATTTAGCTTAAGAAGTATGAGAGTTTTCTTAACCCATAAGGAACACTTTATCCTCCAGTTTATCACAAACATTCAAACACACACAACATTCATGTCACATCTGGAGATACATGGTTTTCACTTGACAGGAAGGAGATGGAAATGTGTAATCTGAGAAGTAACTACAGCTGTCAGAGAAATGTAGTGCAGTGAAAACTACAACATTCACCATTGATATGTGGTGGAGTGTACAAGTGTCTCTAATTTGTACTTAAGTACAGTACTTGAGTACATGTACTTGGTTACTTTCCGCCACTGCCCTGACTCAAGCTCAAGTGACTGTAACTGTTTTCGACTTTAAATGCTTTCAGCATTCCTCACACAGATCTCTTGAGCTGCTGTCCATCCTGCAGAGCTGGGGTCAAAGTTTAAGAGAAACAACATGGGACTTTAAGGTGTCTGACTTCTTTACTCCGTGGCAGAGTAAAAAAACATGTCATGTCTGAATTTATAGAACCGTCAATCAAGATGTGACTAAGGCATTAAAAAAAAACCCTTCTTACTCACCTTGTCCTGCTCCAGCTGTTCAATGAGGTTCTTGGCATCACGCAGCTGAGTGATCAGCTTTGTCTTTTCTGTTGTGTGCAGCTCCTATAAACATAAAACATTTGACAATATGTCACACACTTTACACTTTTACACACATTTATGATTTTGATATTCATGTCCTCTCCATACTTTGGTCAGATAACTTCAAAACGTTTTCTGCACCACCCAGGATGCCTCACCCACAAGCCAAATAACCAGAGAGTGTACACAAGCCCAGCTAAACCAACAAGTTGACCCAAATTACAGCCCTGTTTAGCAGCAGTGGCATGTAGGAGCTGTGTTCCTGTGGCACCGCTGTGTAACCAGTGGTTTCTAAACAGGAAATGCTGGGCTGCATGTATCTGTCAGTTGTTTGATCTATGTGTGCTATGAGGTAGTGGTGTCTATGCAAACTTTGGGTTCACTGTATCTTGATATTCAAAAATGCATATAACACATTTAAAAAACGCATAATTTTACCCAAATACAGCATACAATACTCTGTCAGCCAGACTGTAAATAATAAATTCAAAAATCCCCAAGCTGAAGGTCTGGAATCGTACACAGATGGTCTGTTTTATGGGATATTTGTCTGAGGCATGGGATGAGCACAGCACAGCCCAGCAGGTCCAGGATGCCTTCATGCTGCTTAAGAGGGCTACACGCCTGTTAACCTCTGCTTTTCCCGACACAGGAAAGCCCTATTTCCAAACAGACTGCAGATTCAACACAAAAGCGATGGCGAAAAATGAAAGCAAGTCAATCAACATACAGTCACAGACGAGCTGTCTGTTATCACAATGTCTTTGTAACAACAAACATTTGTTATCAGACGCTGCAAAACATCAGAGCGACCACGGACAAGCTAAACAAGCCATCATACCACTGAAGCAAAATATTTTGAAATCAATGAAAACAACGGTTCAGTCATGTCGCGCTGACATGACATGAACCCTCATCCTGGAGTTCTGCCAGAGAATTTGGATGTTTGGACTCGGAGAACCACAGAGATCCACTGTGTCACTGAGATAATTGAGTCACATTATCAGTGGGCCGTTAAGATTTTGGCAGACATTTTGCAAAACAACATTAATTACCCTGAGCACACTGTTCAGTCATTTGCAGCATCTCAGGCAAGCCTCATTTTAATCAAACCACTTTATAATTACAGTTAACCACCACATCAATTTTTAGTGAATGGCTGTCTTAAGGAAATTGCTTTGAAATATGTGGTTGCTTTGTACTTTTGAAAATACAGACAAAGTGATAATGAGTATAAGCAGACATCATGTAAAATTTATAGCTCAATTTGACTGAAAAATGTCATGATATTAAAGTATGAACATGGTCGACACTCCAGTATCATTGCTGTGAAACACAGGTTAGCCACCTTCATCTTCTCCAGCTCCTGCAGTCTCTCCTGCAGCTGCTCCTGCAGAGCTTCATTCTCACTGCCCAGCTGGATGCCCCGCTCCTTGTGTGTTCTCATCACATCTTTGCACTTCTGCAGGAGGTTTTCCTGCCTCTTCACTCTCTTCTGCAGAGCCTCCATAAGTTTGGTTGGATCACTGTTGCCCTCTCCTGCCCGGAAAATAAAATGCACTGGTTAAAAAATAACACTAACCCTTAAAAGGAAATGATTCTCAAGTCTCATACACAGTGAATTCATTTTTTGCTTTATCACCTTACCAAAGTAAGAATACACATAAAAACTGTGTTTACCCTCGGTGACTTCGGCCTCTACTCCTTGCTCCTTCAAAGGACTTTGTGTGGAAGAGGTTGAGTCTGAATCTGCATCTTCAGACTGCGGGACGTCACCCTCAGGTGGCACAGCACCCTCAGAAAACCCTTTAACTCGTTTCTTCAAAAGAGCAACCTGTTAAAAAGAGCAAAGTCCATAGTTAGTGAAATATGGCTCTAACTGATTGGGTTAAGGGCTCAAATCTGGCATTAGTCCATGCATGCTAATTTTGTACATTTAACTTTTAGTGTGTTTTTATTTACACTGTTTTGCAAATATTGCAGTTAACTCCTGCCTCTGATTAACGTAAAATGTATATAACATTTATTAGTTGATCACTGCAATAAAATCTGCATACGTAATTCTTTGTTAATCAGTCATGTTGATTCAATATCCTGTATAGGATATGGATTTAGATTTGTCTCAGTATAGTTTGTGTAAACAGATCAATAATCTGTGTGTAATCTGTAAATATAACATCTTCCATAAATACAAAAAAAAAAAAAAATTGTAAACTTACAAAAATATTCTGCAAACATAAAATGAAAATACAAAAAAACATAATAGTAATAATTAAATGAAAGGTATTTGTGAATATCTTCCTGACATTTACAATTTTCAAACAGGCATTTGTAAATCAAATTCTTATTTGTGAATTAAAGAGACATTTGTGGCTCTCAATTCTATGTTTCCGGATTTGCATTTTACACACTGTGTTTTGAGACAACCTTTCTTCCAGTCTGTACAAAATTCACTTGTATAATTCAGCCATTTTCGAATAGCACGTAATCACCTCTTGACGGCATTCCACACACAAGTAAGAGCATGCAATCATTCTTTGACCTGTCCCTTCTATTTTTATTTTTTTAAATCAGCGATAAGTAATATGCATTCATTATTTTATGAAGATATTGTGACACAGTGAGTTTTATTGTGTGTTTATTTACACACTTTCATATACATTTCTGTTTTAGTATGAAAGGCAAGAGAAAATTTGTGGGAAACTTTCGGGTTCCAATATAAGCGGTGGGCTTGCGCTGCTTCATCAGTTGGTAGTTACCTAGCCACAGAGGGCCAGCCAATCATCCTTTCTATTTTTCAATTATAATATTATATCTTCATGTATTTGCAGACCTATATTTGCAAAATATTTTTGTGGGTTTAGATATCTTTTTTTCTATTTGTGAAAGGTGTTCAGTATTTACAGATTGCACATTTAATCACAGATAAGTAGGACAAAGTAGTAAGACAAATCTAGGGCTGCACAATAATTAAGAATTTTTTTTGTGGATACACAGATCTGTTTCCATAGTATGTGTGTTGGTTCACTAAATGTGATTATGGTTGGTGATGCTTTTTTAAAGTCATATTTGAACATTTATCAAGTATTATATGAAGACAGGAAGAAATTTCCACCCAAATTTGAGTCATACTTTGCTGGCTTGTAATTCCTGAAAGCTTTAGACTTTGTCCCAAAAGCATATATATGTCACCTTTCAAGTACCAGCACTCACCTGTGTCTGCAGTACAGTGATCATCTGGTCTTTCTCTTCCAGCGCAGCATCAAACTCGTCTTGTAGGTGTTTCTTGGCCTGTTGGTCCATTTGAAGCTCCTAGAGATCGTTCAATATGTTCACTCATAAGGAAATATTTTTTTTTTATCAAAAAGGAAGACAGACACTGACCTAGGGCGACAACAACATTCATAACATATAGCCATACCTCCCGCAGCTCCCCTATCCTGCGGAGAGCTTTATCTTGACTCTGACTGAGGATGACCTGAGGGGAAGGAGAACAGAAATGGACATCTGATCAGTTCAGGATGATGGAAAAATAAATCCTGGGGAAAAACATTGTATCAAAACTAAAATATTAGCCAACATGGTGGAAATTACCTGTGTTTTTTCTTTATCTCGCTGTACTGTACGGTATGCAGTAACCAGCTGTATGGTGAAGAAGTGGAGGTATGTGAAAGGGGAAGAAACAGAAAGAAAGAAAGAGAAAATCAAAAATGAGAATGCATCAAACTATAGTCACACACTTCTATGGCTATACACTAAACAGATGGACAACTTGACATTTGAATCTTCTTGGAGCCATTTCTCTGTGCGACTCTCACCTCTGAGTACTTCCCTCTGTACTTCCCCAGGCTCCTCTCCACTCTGAGCAGCCGATGCAGCAGCTGCTCTTTGGAAAGGGACTCTGCACTTCCTGGTGGCTCCTCAGCCTCACTCTCAATATCTGAGGGGGGGTCATATGTGGGGGCGCCTGGGGAGTCGTTCTCTCCCAAAGGTGTCAGGGAGTCACGCGATGAGCTTCGGACCAGGTTTTCTTTCGAGGGAGAGCGGAACAGGTTTTCTGCCCGACTGGCACCACCACGGATTAACGACTCCATTGAGGGAACTCTTAACTGCAGTTTCTGGGCAAACGACTGAGTCTCCTCTCTCTGTTGGATCAAGAAATTCCATAAAAAGCTCATTTTAAAACAATGAATGAGCCACAGCAATATAACATTAACAAAGATCAGAGTGGAGGCAGGGTAGGGTTGGGTGATAAACCTACATGAGGAGAGACACTTCCATCCCCATTGATGCTACCTCTGGGAGATCGTGCTGGTCCTTTAGGGGCGGTCTGCAGATAAAAAGACATTATGAGAGACAGAAAAACTGCGCTAGTGAACTTGTCCTGGGCCAGTTAGTCATCCACACCCAGCGTGGCTCTCCCTGATTACTCTGGAGGGAGCAATATTAGTATTGCTGGGAGCAATGCAGGGGCAATGGGTACCCTCATGCAACTTGGAAAAAACAGAGGGGTTAAATACATAAAAGAAGGCATCTCTACTGTACATTAAACAAAAAAAGGGTTAAAACTAGACTACAGAACAGCCATAAGGTCAGAACAAACAGACAGTTAATAGTCGAGAAGGAGAGCTGGTATTGAATTAACGATGCTTGGCAGTGCCGTGTGCAGCTGTATTACAAGAGCACAAGAGAGTCCTATTTAAAGTAAGTGAACATTTAGCAGCTTAGTTGGTTTAGTTGACTTGTTAGAAGCAGGATCAGAGTAAGCACATTTTCTCCTCCCTTGTCCAGCTCCGAGCTTCTCCTTCCTCTGGATTATTGTGCAAAACATTCAACATTTCTGTCCTGTTCCTTGTGGAAGAGTTATTAATGAGACAGGATCTGTGTGCTGTGCAGCAACAGCCATGGACCTATTTTTGTTTTACTGTAGGGATTGGTGAGGTTTGAAACTAAATGACTAAATGTATTTTTATTCTACAGCGTATAGGGCCACTTAGATTCAACAAGAGTGTGATTGTGTGTTTGTGTGGACTACCAAAGCTAAATGAATAGGAACTAAGCACTAACTTAACTGTAGGTGACAGAGGGTAACTTCTGATGAAGTCGGAGTTCATTCTCTGTCTGTTTAAAGGGGACCTATTGTGCTCATTTTCAGGTTCATACTTGTGTTAAGTCTCTTTAAGCCCCCCACCCAAAAATGACCAGTCTGCTTTGATTGGTCAGCGTTTCCGGGTCCTCTGTATCTCGGTGTCTCCGCACCATCATTGCAGCCGGGGAATAACTGTAACAGAGTATAGCAGCAGTCTCTAACATGAAACATTGACCAATAAAAGCTTATAAACACAACTGGACATGTTCCAGCAGGAATCTGATCTAAACTAAAATTCTGTAATGTAAATACTTGCAGCAGCATCCCTGGTACAGATGACCATATAAAGAATGATGTCAGCTTGGAAACACAGTATTCATATATAAAGAATAAAGAAAAACATGATAGGTCCCCTTTAAATCTTTATTTAAACGAACTGATACTTGATTGTTTTTTTCTCTCACAAAGGTTTATGTGAATGAACAGGAATAAAAGACCAAATTTAATTCTATATAGCATACAATACTTAGTAGCTTCTTTCACTACTCCACCATGTGTCATCCCATGTAGATGCTTGTCACCAACCAAGACTTAAATGCCTCTAGTGTGTTTCAGTAACGCTCCATTTCCCAATTCTCACAGACAACGAATTACTGACTAAATTCAAAGTCAAGTCAAGTCAGCTTTATTTATATAGCACATTTCATACGTCAAGTAGGGGTGGGGGAAATTTCCGATTCTTAGATGCATCGTGATTCGGACGTGGACGAATCTGAATCGATTGACAAACGTCCAAATTTCGATTATTTAAATCTGTTAATTAGAGTAATACAGAAGGTTCTAAATAATGCGGAACTAAGAAGTGCGGTACGTGTCATCTCCGGGACACGTTGGGATGCGCACCTGGAGCAGACACGCCGACACGTGCACAGAGGAAAACAAACATGGCTGACCGCTACCCACCTCGCTGTGAGAGCTGAACAGCTTCTTCTAATTTAAAAGCAGATGTGTGGAAATACTTTGGCTTCTACAACGTTGATGGCGGAAGCGAACTGGACAAGAGCCACGTTATATGTAAGCTGTGTCGTGCTAAAATAAAATACTTTGGCAACACAACAAACATGAGAAGCCATGTAACTCGATTCCACCTGACAGAGGAGTCAGGGAGACGGCAAGCTGTTGTTGCTGCGGCAACTAGTGGCGCTACCGACCAGAGAACAATCAAGGAAGCAATTAGAAAGCTGCCACCCTCATCTGAAAAGGCGAAGCGAATTACGAAGGCCATCGCGGCATTTATTGCCAAGGATTTGTGTCCTTATTCTGTCTTGGAAAATCAGGGATTTTGAGCACTGCTGCATACACTGGAGCCCAGATACACCATCCCATCCCGATGCTATTTCACCGACACTCTACCATCAAACCAAAACAGAAGTCATGGCCTCACTGTTGAAGGCAGGTAGGCAGGAACGTAGTTACATGTGATTGAAGGCAGGTAGGCAGGAACGTAGTTACATGTGATGCGTGGACGTCTGTCGCCACCGAATCATTTGTTACTCTAACTGCGCATTTTATCTTGTGATTTAACATAACTGTTGTTACCTTTGGTTCCGTACAACGAAGTTGTAACTTTCCAGTTTGCAAGCATTTCCATTTATATGTTTAATAAAATATAATGGAAATGAATTCAACTCTTTCTTATTTCAAATGCACTGTTTTTAAAAATTGCAAGTGTTGAATGCTTATTCAGTGAGACAAAAAGAAATGTGTGTTGTGAAAAAGTGCATCAATATACATAAATTAAAGATGCATCAATAATCGTTTTATAATCGAATCGTAGCCCCTGAATCGTAATCGAATCGTGAGATGCCCAAAGATTCCCACCCCTAACGTCAAGCGTAACTCAATGTGCTTAAAGTGCCTACAGTGGTTCTGAGTCCAAAATCCAGTCGCTCATAATAGTAAATATGACTAGTATTACCATAATTAGTTACCAACACAAACAAAATTCCAAGAAACATAAAGATTCCTTGACAAAAAAGTTTGTACCTCCAAAATAAAACATAAAATAACTAAATTAGTGAATGAATGAGTTTGATGGGATTACTATCACTGGATTGAGCAATTAACATTTGTGTTGATAACATCTGAATACAATGTGGATGGAACATGTATGGTTAATCATAAGAGATGATAATGACACAGGTTGTATCTGTAACTGCAGAACGTTCATATTTCCCAGAGTGTAGAGCTATAATTCACAGATCTATGAGTCTATTAATGACACAGTACAACAGAGGTTTTATCAACAGAGGAACAACTGTTAGACTAACCTGTTAGGTGTAGTGCAGTTATATATATTAGATATTTACAATTCAATTAGCCAATTTAGCCTAGCTGTAATAAAGAGCTACATGTCAAGTAAACACTGACAACCACTGACCCCAGTAGAAGTTGTTCATGGTTTTTACAATTAATGTCAAATTATGTTTGCTTACACAAAATACTCAAATCACTAGACAATTGTAACAGTGCTAATTATAGGCTACACTGTTTGGGTAAACAACCTACATCAGCATTTGAGTTTTAAAACAGATGTACATTGCAGGAACTGCGAGGCAAATTCCCTTTGCACAGAGCAGTTAATTAGTAGTCAAAACACAAATGACAAAAACTTCACATTATACATTACATCAAATGTATCTTAGACAGACATACAGAATGTTAGCAAAATGATTTTACTGTATGAATTTAAAATCTGTTTCAAATGTCATTTTCCTCTAGTCTTCTTCTGACTGCCTCCACATATAAACACACATCATCTGGGTTTTGAGCTCCACAAGCGCATCTACAAAGGTGCTCTGGTCAGTTTGTTTATTTGGAAAAGTAACAAGCAATTTAACATTTCAGCTGTTTAAAATGTCTGCATGTAGGTTGTAAAATGCAAACAGCAACTCTCCAAATAAACAGACTTGTGGGGAGAAGGGACAAAGGCCATCAGGCAACATAACAGGTTTTTAGGGGTCTATAAGGCAAGCAACTACGGACACCTAAAGACAAGGGGGCGATATCCAATTCTGTGACAGATGATAAGAACTGAAAGGTAGGGCAATAAACCAACATACGGCAGAAAGCACACAAGCTTCTATCCCACAATGTAAACCATTACTCCCATTAGATGCAGGGTTAGCCTAGATATGAGATGCCTTCTTGTTGCTAAATCCAAAGGAAACAGGAGACAGAGAGCAGGGAACAAGCTGTCCCTTCTTGGGTCACAGTCCTCTACCGATTCCCCAAAGGCACGGAGACAGGAGGAAGGAACAGGGCAAGAGGAGGAGGAGGAGGAGGAGGAGGAGGAGGAGGAGGCGAAAGATGAGGAAGGAAGAGACAGGAAGTGAGGACAAACTCACCACACTGGCTACCTGGGCCGTTTTGGGTCGTTTTGAATGGTCCAGAGCAAAGATAGTATACTCAGAGAGAAAAGCGGGCTCTGCTATCATCCCGGCCAGCATCTGACCCCGTCAGTGCAGTAACGGGACGAAAGGTGGGGAAAGGAGAGGAACACAGAGAGCAATGAGAAAAACAACACCATGAGTGTGAAATAGCGCCGAAGGGAGAGTCCAGCCAGACTGTCCAGACCTGGCTGGCTGAGATAGACTGAGATGGATGGAGAGAGTACAGAGAGAGCAGAGAGAGACAGAGGGTGAGAGACTACATGGGATAGGAAGAAAATAAGAGAAGTGGGAAAGTGAAACACTCAATCAACATTAATGTTATGAATAACAGTTTGACATCTCTGCATGTAGTCTTAAGTTATGATTTTGTCAAAAAAAATCTGCCAAATCTGCCTGCAACAACAAGTACACACGATCAGAGATGTCAAAGTGTTACAGATTCGTGAGGTGGAAAAAAGATGCTGCAATGATAAAAAGCTTCTAAGCTGAAGGCACATGGGCCCGCGTTACAACAACACATCTGTGCCTCCACAGAATAAGGGAGAAAGTAGAGTGTAGAAACCTGTGCAAAAGGGGCACTGTCACTGCTCCAGTTCAGAGTCTGCAGTGTTGAAATGTAGGAAACGTGTCATGAATGAGTGATCAAGCCTATTTTTTGATCTCAAGATCAAACAGCCAAAACTGGAGACATCATATCTAACCTCTAAAATAGATGTATTAACCAGGTGTTGCATCATCAATCTTACAGTCGTGGTCGGTACGTCATTGCCGATCTACCTCTGTCTAATGAAGCAAAGAAGACTTGCATAAACTTGCCCATATCCACTGGAGGAAAATATTGCAACAAATCACCAGAGCAAGAAAAACACTCAGAGGAGGTTACATCAATTATTCATACACATGCTGAAATACGGTCTGCTCTCCACCATTAAAATGCTCTTCCCAACATCTCTAAATGAGAATCTTTTTTGGCAGCATTATAAAGATAAATAACATATGTTGTTGTTTTATTAAAGGAGCTATTGTATATATATTATATGATATTTAATTTATGTTAGAAAGCTTTTTAACAACAGGCCACATTATAATAATTGGCCAAGTGCTTTTACAGATGAAGATAAAATATCCTGAATTTAATTTAAATTTCTAGGTTATTGTCTTATGTAATAATACATGCAGTTAAATGGAGGGAAAGCTTAACAAACCATACCTGTTTATGATGAGGTCACAGTGCTGATTGTTCTACAACATCAGTTAGCACAGTGTTATTACAGCTCATGTGTTCTCATGAAATCATAAGGGCCCTGTGGTGACAGATTGCCATCTGTTGCCTTAAGTAATGGAACAGCTACAATTCAGGGAATATGCTTAGGGAATATGCTTGGGGAATAATATGCATCTTTTATTATATTAACAAATTACAATCAGTCTCGGCCAGAGTGTCAAGACTGTTTCATTTGGTAGTAGATAATGCGCACTGAAAATCAGAGGCCTACACTCTTTGAAAACCGAAAGCACTACTTGGTGACTGATTTGCTTTCACTTGGCACAGCAATCAGAAAGGGACCAGTTTGTTATTGAGGCAGCATTCAGCGTAACAAAACACATGACTGACAGAAACATTGCAGTGTACTGAAAATTAGAATATAAGCTGGGGAAAGAACATGACACTTTTGCAGGCTGCAGTTTGAGCTCAAAGATATTAAACGTTTAGCCTATCTATCAGAGGATGACCCCACGCTCACCTCTCTGTCACTGGGAACGGGTGAGCCATCGTGAAGAAACGGCGGGGTTTGACTGCTGCGGCTGTCTCCACTGCCCATCTGTTGAATAAACAAAATAATATATACATCTGTTTCAAACACTCAACATCTTCTCCTTTTAATAGCACCTTATTTATCATATTTTAGCCTTATCCTATTTTAATGTGTGGGTAATGTGAGTGTGTGTTTAGGCAGAGTGAATGTAACAGCTTTGTCCTTCATGAGAGACAGCAAATTTTGTTGGATGTGAACATAAACTGACAATAGAGGCATTCAATTATTCAATATCATACGCTCTTCTTTCTTATTCTGATAAGGCTTTAAGGATTCAAGCATTTTCTACTAATTATAGCTCACTGTTTGTCCGTCTTCACCTTTGAACCCAATCAGCTTTGTGTTCTTCAGCAAATCAATGTGTCATAAACTACAAGCACAAACAGCGGCAAAGTGAAGTTTGCTCCACACAAGTGCCAAGACGCATTCAGAGACATGCAAACCATTAATACAAAATAGGAAAAGAGATGTCATGCACTGTGGAACATGGCTTTTTGCATCTGAAGTAATTTAACACATTTACAAACGATTGGCCATAAATGCCAATTAGCTGCTTGCTACAGCTACAAAGGAGATTTGGCTAACAAAACTGATATGCAGGTTTTAAATTTTAAAGCAAAACCAAACAACAGAGTTCATAAGATCATCTTTGCTCAAGATACAGTAAAAAGATTAAGTCAATATCTGGAAAACACTGACAAACTGCATCGGCAAATAAGGACAGGTTGAACCTGACCAGCAGGGTTGTAATGAGCCCATGCATAGTAATTCAAACTATCGTTAAGCCCGAGACAAAGCAGCTTTGTGGAAGTGTCTCTGATGATTATTTACTTTGTTAACTTCCACGTTGATTTCTAGCTGCTCTGAACCCTGATATGTACATACTGTGATGGCAGGCGTTTGACACTGACAGGATTTGCATGTCAAACACAGCTGCCAGCTGACATCCATTTGCAGCCCTTGCAAGCAACATAAAACAGACACGCCCATATTGTCTCATATCTATTATAAGATTCATGGCTAGTGTTTCCACTTCAGCGAAGTTCACGAGATTGTTGTTTTAGTCTACCTTGAACGACGAGATGTACTAGTTGCAAGTTTTAGCAGCAGCTGGTGACAGCTAAGTTAGGCAGCTAAATGACTTAGCATGATGCTAACGTTGAGAGGACAGCAAAAGGACCAACTGAGAATACAAGTTAACAGACGTTGACAGGCTGTTTAGTTATGTCAGTGCTATACTAAACATTTATGGTCGGAGCACGAAGCATAACCCCTGCCAAACAGAAAGCTATCGTCCTCAGCTACCACCTCAGCAATGTAAACACGTATTAGCTTCGCTAGTTAGCTCCCAGCAACAACAACCAACCTGGGCCTGCTGTTGTGACTGCGCATTCCTCTGCGGTGACTGCTCCTCGTTAATCTTCTGCTTCAGCTTTTTAAACATCTTGTCACGCCGATGTAGCTCACAGCTGACGGGCAGATGACTACTATCCGGCGGAGATGTAGTTTTGTAGTAGTTTAGCCTGACATCCAGTCCTTGGTGTCAGACTTCCTTGTTCGCTTCTGATATCCAGCAGGTGACCGGGCTCTCTGCGCATGTGCGGCCAACGTGGAGGAAAAAATGAAACGTCAGAGTTAAAGGGTCAGTTCAGGCTAAATTAGCTACAGCGCCACCTTTGGAGAAGACATGCAGCACACCTGTATTTTCTAGATAGCTCCAATTACTGGTCCTGCTGGTGTTACCGTAGTTGAATGTGTTGTTGCAGCCCAGTGGTAGTTTGGAGTCACACTTTACTTAATGTTTAATGTCATAACTTAAAAATATTGCACGCATCCATACTGTATAAGCATGCTATGTTATTGTCCCATATCTGGGGAAAACGTCACTGATTTTTTGAAATTTGCTTAGTATGGAGTTCAGCTTTTATTAGGCTAATTTCTTTAAAAGGGAGTTATACATGTATATATATGGCTGAAATAAAAAGATTTAATTGCAGTGGCCACAGAAAGATCATGTTTAAAACACTTAGTAGGCCAATGGTGCTATATATTCTTAGTTTTATTAAGGCAGGATTTAACAGATTGTAGTATTTAAAACAAATTCTATTTTACATTTAAACTTCTCTAATGCTACTTGTGATAAAGGTGAAAATACTTCTTAATCTTAATTTGATGAAACATCAGATTCATGAGTTTAGTCTTTGTCTTTCTTATCCCTTTGATCATCTTCATTGGATGTGGATCTATCTCAGTACCAGCTCCCGGGTCTTAAAGGTTTAAAAAACACCCTCATGCAACAAATATGAACACAAAAACTAGACAAACTTAAAAAAGAGTCCTTGCTTGGACAGAAGAGGGCACTGTGTAAGCATGTTTTACTAAGATTTTGCTCTAGGCCAGTTCAAAGCACAACTCTCTACACTTACATAATGTTTCATACTGTAGCCGATGTGCTATCAAGTTTTAATAGCTGGTTCTACTTTTCCCTACTAAAAGAAAATAAATTACCTCCCTTTGTTCTCTAGCCACATCCCTAAAAGTGAATGTCACAGAGAAAAACTGCAGAGCACTGTGTTGCCATTTTAGTGGTCTGGTAATTCATGCCTTTGTGCTACCTGGACCAGTTTGGTGAGAACATATTTTATCTGGTTTATTTTATGCTATAGAGGGGATAGATATCTCATCATGTGAGGTCCAGTGCAGATTATCATTGTGAACTTGGAGCATTTGTTTTACACAAGCCCATGCTGAGCCACAGTGATTTACAAATATTAGATTAGAATTTGTTTCATTGGAAACAAGGTCCACGCAACACATTCATCACAAACAGATCAATGTGTTCATGTGTATTGTTTATGTGATGATCTGTGGTGGACTCCCTGAACTCTGATAATTTATATTAATGTTATATCTGTGTATATCTAAAAATAGAAAGTCTGTATGTTTGCTCTTCATCTGAGTCATAATGTCCTTGGGTAACATAATAACAACTGTAACAGACAGAGAAGTTCACACTGTGGGTGTGAGTAATGATTTAAATAGTTCTTTCCTTTGGGATCTGGCCATGTGCAAATATCTGAAATAAACACTTCTGAGTCAGACTTTGCTGTCTGGTGGAGAAAGAATACAGCGCATGTCATTTTGGGCCCTAAATCTATTAAAAAGAAGCCTAAAATGAAGATGTGATTTGCATTTTTTCACCATTCTGGCTCTAATGTTTACGACTCAGCAGGGCTTTTGATCTATGATGGGTGACTGGAACAGTGAGTATGACTGATGGGTGGTTAACAGCAGAGTGATGGAGCTCTCCTATACCATGCGACAGTTACTGCTTCACCCTGAGGCATACAGCAGAGAGGATGTGAAGTGAAAACAGAGGGATTGGCTGCTGCTGCATGTTTGCTATGGCAGTTTTGTTTTAGACAGAAGCTTAGTTTCTTAATACAACACACGTATAAATGTATGAATTTGTGAAATTCTGGATAATTTGGTGTCTTTGGGCCTTGAACAGTTACTTAAATGAAACCATCTGAGAGCTTTGAAGGAGAATTGCCTCTTTTGTGGAACTGCGAACACTAGAATATACATCTTAAAAGAACAAAGAGTCTACTTTTTTGTTATCTGGGGAACCACTTGTATAAGTTTTAACAATGCTTATGCCTTGATGTGTTTTTTTATGGCAAGTCTTGATCTGCAAAGTAACTGGCAACTATAACTGTCAAATAAATATTGTTGGGAGGAAAGTATTTCCCTCTGAAATGCAGCAGACTAGAAGTATAAAGTAGAGCATACAATGAAAATGCTCAAGTAAAGTACAGTAGAAGTAGCTTACCTCAAATCTTTAACATCTCACTTCTTTTTATCCGATCAATCATTTCTCAGGATTGTAATTAACAGAATTATGGTATTATTTTATAAAAAATTATTTGAATTATCCCGTTCTAAACTGAAATCTGCATGTCCGTTTTCACTTGGGAACTTATCTGGTTTCACTGGGCCTTTATGCAATCTTATGGACTCGGACAGAAAGTTTGAGGGTGAGATCACCCAGCACATTCACTTACGACTGTGGCTCAAGTCCAACACTTAAACTCCAGGAGAGCGCTGTGCACATCAAACTCACTGCTGACAGTACAATGGGGCTCAGAGACCAGATCAATAAGAAAAAAACCATAAATCCCCTGTGAAGTTTATTAATGCCCAATTAAAAGCATATCTGCAGAACCTGAAATGCAAGCAAATATTACGCAGCTTGGTTTTGCCACTGGCACCAGCGGTCAGTGCTGTGAAGGCTGATATGTGCTTAAAGGTTCCATATATGTGAGTTTGAACATTAGGAGCAATGGTGAAACTGATGGTAGCCAGTCTGGCCGCCAAATCTTTTTCCAACTATGGTGAATCATGGCCTGGCCTACTGTTCCTGTGGTATTGGTTGCCCTCATTGGTTGGGTTCAGGCATGAGCAGTAAGATTGTTTAGGGTAAGAAATTCATGGTAAGCCAATCAGAGTACGGTAGAGTTGGGTGGGTCATGCCTTTACCCTGACACGAAATAAAATGTTCCAGGCCAGCCATGTGTGCATGTTAGTGCGTGTGAGTCCCTCCCTTCATGTTGCACTGGTTGGCAAATTGCAGCCACTCTGCACTGCCCTCATGCGGCAGTTACTGCTGATTACGCCATCTCAACTCACGGTGGCAGGATGGCATCATCACAGAAGCATAACGCCCATCCTCCAGTTCCTCCCTTTGGTTAATACTGTTGGCCATGTCAGTACTGTTGCCATTGTTAGCACTGTTAACATGGCTATCACTGCTGTCCACCACCATTTCAGCTCAGCCACCTCCATGTCTGCTTGTGACACCAGACTTTGAATGTTATATAGACCTATAGCACCTGGAGCTATATAGGTCCAAACTCTGCCTCATGCAGTATCTCTTGGTATTCCAGCTTTACGTATAATTGTCTCTCTGGAGGCTTGCTCCTGAGAGAATGGGCCAAACTGATTAAATATTGATACACTTCTTGGCTTGACGTTGCTTGTCACGGCTCTTTATCACCTCCTTTCTCTCCAAAAACCTCTCCACAATGCGGCGTAGATCCTTGCTGCAGCTCTGAGGGTCATCTGAGGGAGTGTCTCATTCTCTGCTACAATGGTTAATGCCTTCTCATCATTTCTCCCTCCTTGAAAATGTGTTGTAGAGAATTATTGTAAACCACTGCCTTCGTGTACAAGGGGTCAAGCAAGCTATAATTAATTCACTAGTAGTAACTTGAATTACTCCCGGTATCCTTACTACCAAGGTGTCCTCAAAAACCATCAAAGCTTTTAGTCAAAAATATAGTGACTACTTTTAATTTTCACATTAAGTTTAAAGTTGATCAGATATTACTTTATTTGTCCTTATTCATAGGTTGAAAATGTGTCAGTCTTGTGCTGAGGTTGATTTTGAACACTGATTGATGATTAAAGGCTGGCACACTGACCACCTCTTGCCCCTTTCCCACCTCCCATGGTGTCATCATCTGGTTGTTTTGTGCCCATGCCTCCTGTCACAGTGAGGCCGTGCCAGCTTGAAGAGCCTGTTTCAGAAGCAGCTCCATGGGCACATCTTTGTCACTGGCAGGGGATAAGCATCGCACAGCCATCATCTCTTATTCATGACCTGTCCAAAACTAGTGGTACACGATGATTTGCAAACCTTGGCTGTTAGCTGATTCTATTGATAATGCAGTCATGAAGGTGTGTTGAGGCCAAAGTCAGGGCTTAAAAGTTAAAAAATAAATCAAGAGGTCATTTGTTTTTAGGGAGGCCAAGGTTTGGGAGAACGTGTCTATGTTCCTGTGTTCCCTTAGACTGGTACCTACGCCAATAAGGTAATGTTTTCCCCAATTCTGTTTGTGTGTTTACCTGTCTATCTGTTTGTTTGTAATTGACATTGTTAGCGCAGTAACTCAAAAATTTACCGACCGCTTTTAACATGGGCAACCCTAACCCTAATCTAACCCTAATCCAAGCACCCAAGAACAGCACCAGCCTTTGAGGACAATTTTACATAGTGGCCAAATGTGGAATTACAACTTCTGGGTCCATCTCGTGATGCCATGGGGCCCCCAAAACTTTTTAATATAGGCTTCTAAATCTTAGAAATCAGTGTTTACATTTTTTTGAGCAATACAACCCCTGTGAAATGACTCATTTCACTGTCTAGATTTGATCCATTTGGTCCAATAACTTTTCTAAAGTCTAGAAGAGCTGCAAGATTAATCATTTTAAGGCATTTCAAATACACAGAGGGCTAAACCAGGAGTTAGCTGCTCAGCCATTGGGAGTTAGCCGCTTGACCACCGTACATCTCTAGTGCACTTGCTCTCATACCGTGGAAATCAAGCCTTTTGGCGTCATGCATCACTGAGCAACTTTCATCGTAATGAACAGGCGCTGCCTCCAATGCTATATCCAGTTCTCTTTATACAATCATGCCCTAACCCCTGAGACTCAGATGCTGAGAGAACATGTGGCTGAGGAAACATACGGCTGACCCCTTCTGAGGAACCATGATCCCTGGTATTCG